TCCTGGCTCCACCCTCTCTGGTGGGCACAACATTACGAAAATAACAGACCAGACCAAAGGTCCACCTTTGCTCTGTGTACTTTCTTGCAAGAAGTCGGAAGCACAAGCAATTTGCAGCTCAGCAGCTGCCCAAGTCAGAGGTGGATTTCAGTGTATTTATTGGTTCTGGGGGAGCATCTTGTTTTTCTTGAATTCATCCCATTTCTCCTGAAACCAAGGTAAGATTTTGCTGTTCATGACACCTTGTCCTGAGGACTTCTGTGATTTGATAGCACATCTGCAAGAGGCAATGCCCCTCCTCCTATTTGGCACCTCCTGCTAGCTTAATTTGATGTGACCTTGTACTTGTACGGAAATAAACAGTGAACAGTTAACCTCTATCACTTCTCTCCTGGCCTCCTGTAGACATGTTTTATCCATCTTCTGTTGTTTCTTTTCCAGTCTGAAGAGCCCTGCCTTATTTAGCCATTTTTTTGCAGAGAGGTCTTCAGACCTCTGACCATTCCTGCTGCAACTTCCAGGCATTTGACTCCACAATGATCTCAACGCTCACACATCTCTCCTGAGCTCCCCCATGGGCAGTTTTAGAGACAGAGACACAGAGCAACCCCTGTCCCTTCTCCTCCATCACTGTTCCATGAGTCCTCAAGTTGCTCAGCAGTGCCTGGAGTCATGTAAGGGTAGAGAAAACACGTGAAGACAGTCTCACCTTCACAACTCCTTCAGCACTGGGTGCCAGAACCAGGACATGGACAGGGCCACTCCCATGGTGAGTGGCATGCAGGCACTTTGGTCACACTGCAGACTTGGGCTTTTTCTCCCACTCCTTTAGAGCAGCACCTAATGACTGCTTGATGAAGGCAAAGTCCCCGCAGCCCCTGATCACCATCAAACAGCATTCTCAGTAGTCCCCTCCCCAAGCCCATCTCAAAAGCTTCCTGACCAAACTGTTGCCAACCATCCTTGCTCTCAGAAAGCCCCAGCAGCCCAGGCCCAGACCCAAACAAGGCTCATGCACAGTATGAGCCCTGTAACATGCTCTCTCTGCGACCTTTCCCAAACTTTGCCACCTGCTCTGCTGGCACGGCTGGAGCATCTGGCCACCAGGCAAAGCTTCAGCTCTGCTTGCCAGGCACCTTACAGGATACACTCACACTGAGATGCAGTTTGAAAACAACAGATGTTACTCCACTGCTCTGCATTTTGCAGTGTCAGGAACTAGGCTTCTTTACCAACCATCTCCCGAGCTCCTTGCCAAGGCGGTCTCAGCTCAAACAGCGCTCCCCAGCACAAAGTCTTGCTCACAGACAGCCCCTGCCAGGCAGACAACATGGTAAAAGGGATGTGACTTTCCCCCCACAACTGCAAGTCTAAGCAGGAACATAGGTTCCATCATGGACTGTAATACCACTCAGACAAGCCTCCAAACAAACAGCACATAACCTCCTATCCAGGCAAAACTTCCAGGAGCTACACAAACCAGACATGACCCAGCAGCTGCAGCCAGAAGCACCCATGTCTTTCCACTGCTCCTTCTTCATACCCATTTCCTCTCAGTCAGACTTGCTCCAGGGTCTGAATGATGTGGGTTCAAACTGGCAGCTCTGGCAATTGCAGGACCATTTATTCATTCCCCTCACACCCGCAGTGGAATCCTGCTGAGGCCAGCAGTGCACACAGTGCTGGTCACAGCCTGCTCCCTGCCCCCAGCTCTGGGGAGCATCACGTTAAGAGACCACCAGAGCACTTAGTCCACCACACAGCACCACTCAGCTCTGCCAGTCCTCAGACCCAGCTCTCCCTGAGCACCCTGGTACCAGGATCCAACCTGTCTCTTTGTGCTGTTGTGCCCCTGCCAGCTGGCTGTGACCATCTCCCCTCTGTGCCGACCCCAGAGCCACACAGGGACCTTGGCTGTCTTTCAAAACGCTGTCAGTGGCAGTCAACAACCACAGACCACCAGCAGAGGAATCTCTGCCTGGGATCCCACAGGGAGCTGATAATTGTTGCATCCCTGTGGCACTGGAAGTTCTAAGGACACAGAGCCAAGCTGTCCCTGCCCTGTCCCTCTGCACTCGGTGCACAGCCCCAGGATGGCAGATGCACATCCCCTCTGTGCTCTGCTGTGAGATTTCACAGGTTCCTCTGCAGCTCCACCACAACTTGTTGCCCAGCCACATGGTCCATGTCCCCATCCCCATCATTTCCCACCATCCTTACACCCTCATACTGTTACTGGATTCCTCCAGCTGCCACCAGCACAGCATAGCCACTCCACACTGGTCTGTCTGAGGCCACAGCTGCTCCTGGACAGCCAAGAGAGCTTCCTTTCTCCCCTGACTGCTGCAAATAAATAGCTCCTAGAAAGGAGGATACAAGAAGATGGCAGCAAACTGCTCGAGAGGCTGCGGTTGGGGAGGTTTAGGAGCTGGCTGAGCTGATGCTGCTGGGGAATGGTGTAGATGGAGCTTAGAGACTTGATAACCTCGGGGTCCCTTCCTTACCAGCTGTCCTAAAACACCTCCTCCCTTGACACAAAGACAATGCCAACATGGACCTGCCACAGGATTTTGGCAGCCACTATCTCCTTGCACTTGCTCGTGGACTCAATGTGATCCTGGTCAAAAGACACCTGGAACGAGTCCCTGTCTGTGTTGGACCTGCGTACCCAGAGCAGATCCCACAGAGAGCCAGGACAGACAGAGCCACCACATCTGGAGCCTCTCTGCCAATTCTCACGCTGCCTTCTGAAGCTTTGGCAGGCCCCTGCCCTGGGCAGCCTGCACAGCAGCTCCACTCGTGACTCCAGGCTCTGGCTGCCCTCACCACCCTGCTCTTGAGCACCTCCACTCCAGCCCTTTGGGACAAAATCCTCCACATGAGGTCTGGGAAGGAGACAACCCCAGATGAAAAGCACAGAGCAACACCCTTGGCATGTGCTCAACCTCCCCTCTGACAAGGCTGCCCTCGATGCTCATTGCTGTTGAATATGGGCAGTTGGAGGCTGTGCAAGCCAGCAGCACGCACGCCCTGCCAAGATGGGCTCTGCAGCTCCCATTTCCTCAGCACAGCCCACGTCCAAGGGCTGCCCTGCACCTTGGCGGCTTTTGCTCGTGCTCTGGAGGTTGAGAGCTGCATGTTTGCAGGTGTCCAACAAACTCCACATCCCGACTGCACATGTAACCATGGCAACTGCACATGCGAGTGGCAAAGCCTCGAGCCGGGCTAACTGCAAATGCAAATGAAGCAAACACATGCACAGTGCTAAAAGTGTGACCTCTAAATGTCAGCCTTTAACCATTTTGCAGACACTAGCTCTGGTGGCGGCCACCTGCAGCCTGCAGAGCAGGGAGAGGTCTGGTTCCACTGGGGACCTCTGGGTGCCCAGCCCTGTGTCAGCTCTTGGCATGGGTGCTCGGGTGAACCCATGGCACAGGCACTTCCCAGAGCCAAGAGTGACTCCTGCCTTGGCAACCAGCAGCTCCCTCTCTGAGGACACATCCACCCCTTATCCAGCTGGCAGGTGCTCCCAATTCTACAGAGCACCCTGGGTTGCAGAGGAAGGAAGGTCTCACCAGGCTGGCACAAAGCATGGCCAGCATGGGGGCTCGTTAGCTCTCCCACTGCACTCACACATGCCCAGCCATGGAGGCATCTCCAGCCCCTCTGCCATCACCTGGGGCCAAGCCAGCAGCAGCAGCAGATGAGGCATCCTCAAAGGATAGAAGGAAAATCCCAGCTTTCCAGGGACTTCGTGCCAGAGCCACCTCCCTAAGGGAGGTCTGTGGCCTTGGGAAGGGTTGTCAGTAGAGGCATAAGAAGGTGTCACCACTTGGGAGCATGTGGTTCAGAAACTGACTGGCTGGGCAAAGGCCTCAGGTCCCCCATCATTTTTCTCCCTTGCTGCTGACAGCACCAGATGCAGACCCCAGCACTGACCATCACCCACCACGTCCCACTCCATGCCTTGGAGCACAATGGAGCCAAGCTCAGGTGAACAGTGCCAACTCCAGCCACAGTGTGCAATGCTGGAGCCACCAGCAAGCCCTGCACCCACCACCCTGCTCAGGGGCAGATGGATGGGTGGGTGGATGGATGGATGGATGGATGGGTGTCTGGCCCGCCATCCTGCTCAGGAATGAGCACAGCCAGCACCACAGAGCCCCTGCTTGACAGCGAGCCTGCCTCCTCAGGCCCCTGGCCCAAGGGAGAAACAGGGAATGCTCTTTCACTCCAAGAGCCCGGTGGCTAATGTCATTCCCCATGCTATGCCAAATAAACCGAGCCAAGGGGATCTCCTGCCTGCCCTTGACCCAGGGATGCTCACACCAGCAGCCTCATGCTTGGAAGCACCAGGAGCATCCTTGCACCCCAAACAACCGAGCCCCCAGTCAGTACCTACACCACACCACAGACACCCCCACAGCCCCGGGGAGAATCCCAATCCCTGGGGTGAGAGCGACCGAGCCGGGACAGCGCCTGCTCCTTGCTCTGTGCTGGGTCTGACAGGCCGGGCCGAGCGGGACAGAGCGGCCCGGCGGATGCGGGGCAGGGGCCGGGATGCGGAGCAGGAGCCGGGATGCGGGGCGGGAGCCGGGATGCGGGGCGGGAGCCGGGATGCGGGGTGGGAGCCGGGATGCGGGCCGCGCAGCTGAGGCGGGCGCACAATCCCCCTTTCAGCACGTCGCCATGGCAACCCGCCGGCTCGCCGCGGCCGCTCATCCGGCCCCGTTAACCCTCGCCGTTACCCGCCGCCGCCGCGCTCGGCCCCACCCGTTAACCCCCGCCGCGCCCCGCTGCGACGCCCCACGCCGGGACCGCGACCGCAACCGGGACCACCCCTCGCCCCGGGAGCCCCGCCGCCCCCGCGGGGGCCGCCCCCAGCCCCGCGCCGCGGGGCCGGTCCGGTCCGGTCCCGTCCGGCCGCGCTCCCCATCCCGGGCGGCGGCGGGCCGGGCCGTGCGGGGCCGTGCGGGGCGGGGCGGAGCGGGCGCACTCACCGTCGGGGGCGGCGGCGCGGCTGGGCCATGCCGGTGGCGGCGGCGGCTGCTCCGCGCCCCGCGCTCCGCTCAGTCCGGCCCGACCCCGCACCGGGAGCGCGCGGCGCGTGCACGGGGGGGGCGGGCTGGGGAGGGGCCGCACCGCAGCACCCCTTCGCTGCCGCCGCGCTGGCCCGCACCGCCGCCCGGCACCGGCACCGGGCATCCCACGGCCCCGCCGCTGCTCTGGCCGGGGCCGGTACCCCACGCCCCGGCACCTGCACCGCCCGGGTCGCTGCGCCGAGGGGATGCCGCACCCGCCGAACATCGCGCAGTCCGGTACCGCGCCCTCCGGGTACCGGCACCAGCCGCGTCTGCACCCCCGCTATCCCCGAACCCTGCCCTGCGCACAGCGCCGGGACTGCCCGGCTATCGGTATTCCCACCGTCCCGAGCGGGACACCTGCACGCCCTGGGGCACCCCGAACCACCCTAGAAAACTACCCTATCTGTGGGGGCATCCCGGCACGGCCCCGGACATCCCGCACCATCACGGGCATCCCAAATCCTGCCCCACTGCAGCCTGTGTCTGTCCCAGTCACTCTGCATGGGTCTCCTACACACCCCGCAGCAGCTGGAGCGCCCTGCAGCCCCGGTGTATTTCCCCACGGCCAGGGGAGGAGCCCCTGCTTCTCCTACTGCTCTGCAGTGCCCAGCGGGTCCAGGGAGGATTCAGCAGGTACCTAGTGTGGGATGCCCCAGCCCAGCCTCAGCCTTGGGGCCCGGTGCAGCCTCTGCCACCTGTCCATTCCCTGCCGTGCACTGGGCTGCAGGGTATCTTCCCCTCCCACTCACAGCCTCTCGGCAGGAGCCGCCTCTCCCAGAGCCTGCCTCTGCCCAGAGCAAAGCCACCTCTCTGTTTCAGTCTGGCCTGATGGGATTACAGAAATCATTTGAAACAGGGCAAGGATTTGGGTCCTGATGGATATATCTGGTTTCTGCCTCCCTCTGCCATTGCCAAGGTAGCATCAGCTGGGACGCCTCCACAGAGGAGACACTGCTTCCTGTTTGACAGGAGACACTGTTTCCAGCTTGTGTGGCAGCATGCGAAGGCAGTTGTTTTAACTCTCTCACACGCCACTGGCATCTGCACTGACCCAGTGAACATAAAATGGCAGAGATCTCTGCACCTCAGCGCAGGTTGGCCTTTATCTTCCTCAGAGCCTTCCAGCTGCTGCTTCAGAGCCGGTCAGAGTTTTCCTGCCTCTCCTGCCCAGCTCCCTCTCCAAGGGACTGCTTGCTGGTGGTCAGCAGCTTGACTGTGTTGCTGGCCCGTTATTCACAGGGTGAGCTGCAAGCTGCCAGCCTGTACACCTTTTGGCAGGCAACACGGTCCAGCACCATGTGGGATGGATGCACAGCCCTGCTCTGTGCCCACCAGGTTCATCGGCTTAGAGAAGCATCTTGAAGGGGGCCCTGGACTGGTGCTGGGCTGCCCCTCAGCAGGCAGGGCTCCAGGCATGGCTCCCTGCATCCTGCTGCCCAGAATAGGGTGATGGTGCATGTCTGCAGTGGTGCCTTGTGGCCCAGTCCCCACCACGAGCACTGTGGGAGGGTTGGGTACTCAGCTGCTCCACTGCCAGCTTCAGCTGCTTGAGTGAGCAGTGATCGATTTTCTTGCACAACATCAGCTCTGACAGTGCCTGACAAGACACCTCTGCCCAGGGCACGGTCCACGGGGACCGTCTGTGCCAGGCTGCTGGGTGGGGTGGGTGCGTGGGGCACAGCATGCTCCAGCCCACCCATCACCCCAATGAGTCAAGGTTCGTGTAACCTCGGGTTTCTCCCCGCATGCTGGGCACACCCCGTGTGGCAGCGCCTGCACACAGCAACTGAGGGTTCTGCCCAGGCAGCTTCTGGGGCTGGTCCCCAGCGTCAGGAAGGCCAGCATCAAACGCACACTCACACACGCACACCCCACCCCCTTCCTGGACTGGTGGCCAGAGAAGGGCAGCTGAGTGCATTACTCAATGGGCAGCGCGTATTAAAATGCCCCCGGTCGCCTCTGGCTCTGTCACAAGCAGCGTTTAGCCACGACTCGGAGAAGGAGCAGAAGGGCTGGAAGCTGTCAGACCTGCTTAAAACGGCCGCGGCTCAGTGCTAATGTGCAGCACAGCAGCGGCAGCTGCAAGGCACACAGCCAGGCCAGGCAGAGCTCAGCTCCCCAGACAGCCCTGTGCTGTGACCAGGGCTTGCCCTGGTCCCCACGTCCCCCTGCAGTCTCCTGCACCCACTGGAAACCTCTGGACAGCCATCCAGGGGCGCGTGGGATCTTGGGGGCAGTGGCAGCCCTGGGTCTGTCACCACAACAGAGCTCCGGCGTCCTGCTCATCCCACACAGACCTGGACTGTCAAGCAGCAGACACAGCTGGGGAAGCCTTTTGCCAGGGAGGAGCAGGGCCAGCGCTGTCGCTGGGCCATGCAATAGAGAATCCCGCGGCAGCAGGCACCTGGCCGGCAGGGAGGGACATGTACATCCCCTTTTCCCAGGGAGGTAGGGTGATTCCTGGGATGCTTTCACCTGATCCCCGCGACCCTGAGGAGCACCCAGCTGGAGATCAGCACCCGTGTTCTCCTGCTGCAGCACCCCAGTCCTGCCACAGCTGCCGTGCAAGCGGCACCCACTGCACCCCTGCCCGGATCCCCGCGGCTGTGCTGCCTTTGCCACCCCGCTCCGGCTGCTGCAGAGCCGCCCCCCTCCCACCTCCGGCGCGGCAGCGATGCAGAAGGAGCATCCAAGATGCCGCTTGGCGCAGGCTCAGCTGCCTCCCGGGGCCGGCAGAGGAGGGGGCTGTCGGCCATGACCGCACACACCACGGAAAGGGGCATGTTCTGGGCAGGGGCAGTGCCAGTGCCCAGTGCCCCCAGGCTGTGGCTCCGCTGGCGCCGGGGCGCTCCCTGTCCCCACCCCCGGCAGGATGGGGGAACACAGCCCTGCTCCATCCGCAGCCGTGGGTCCCTCGGAGCAGGGTCCAGCTGACACTGCCAGGGCCCAGAGCAGGGCTGCCACCTCTGGGGTCAGCGAGCACGGGCTGCAGGCAGGCAGAGCCCCTGGAGCAGATGAGGACCCAGCAGCCAGCTCCGGGCTGGGCCCCAGTCTGATTTTCATGGAAAGGGACAAGCAGGGACGCACACACATCTGTCCTCAGGAATGAGTGAGTCCACCAGGCCTGGCCAGCAACACTTTCCAAGGCACCTGCAGCCACATGGCAGGAGCCTGGCAGAGGTGCAGGGGCAACACAGTTTGGGGAGGAGCAGGGCACAGCGGGCTGTGGTGCCAGGCCACACAGCTGCCCCCAGAGAACTGCCCCACACCTGCTCCCAGGGAGGAAAGGGCTCAGCTTGCCGTGGCCTACCCTACAGAACTGTGTGCCCTCAGATGAAAGATTCAGTGCAGCTCTTTGCTGAGTCCTTGTGAGCCTCACTCTATCCCACACAGATGGGACAGAAGGCAGATGCTGGTCAAGAAAAGCTACCACAGGGAGCACAGAACAAACTGATGAGGAAGAACCAAAGATGGAAGAAAGGGGGTGGTGGCTTCCAGGTTCAACAGAGAGCAGAGAGCACCAGGAGCAGACCCCATGCCAGCAGGCTGCACTAGCCAGGTCAGAAGTTGAGAATGCAGCATGTTACCCATGCAGAGAAAGCAGTGGGGCTGTCAAGGAGTTAATAGAGGAGCCTTGGTGCTCATCAGCCAAACCTTGCTGTGATGGGGAACAAGAAGCAGCACTGTGAGTGCATTTGGTCTGCAGCTCCTCCTAGACTGCAGAGGTAATGAGCTGAGATCTCAGTAACTGCTGTGGTGGGAAAGCTGGGCTTCTTAGAGCTCAGAATTACCCTGCAACAGAACTTCCTCTTTGCTTTATACCTCTGTCCTGGTGGAACACGCCACAGACTGCCAGTAAAGCTCTTAATCAACATATAAATCCTACAAAGCTTGCACAAACCCTTGCAAGTATGTGAACAGCAGCTTATGAAACAAACAGGGAAGAAGGGCTTTCCTTCCCAAACCAAATTGTTTAGCCTTCACAAACACTGAAAATGCAGACATAAGTTCTATTGAGAAAGAGATAAAAGATCATGTGTGGAGGTGCTGCTGGGCTGTACTGGGAGGAGTGCTGAGGAGGAAAGGCAGGCTCTGAATACACACTCAGTTTGCAAAGTAAGCTCTCTGTATTCATCCGAGAATGTCTGCAGTATGGAGTTCATCTGGTATAAATAAAGTACAAAATTTTACAATGTCTTAATCATTATTTTAACAAAAATACTAAAAACTGAGTAAAAACTGAAACCAAAGTGGGAAGGGAGACTATCAGCCACAAGGGATCTCCATAAACATTTGTAGAAATCGGATAGTAAAAACACTTTCTCTGTACAATAAAATCCTCCTCCTGGCATCTCCCTGTGAGAACAGACAGCAGCAGCACTGGAGGCACAGGCCCAAGGACAGAGACTGGGACTGCCCCAGGGGTTGTGGGTCAGGCTGAAGAGGCTGTATCCATCCATCCACAGTGATGTCTCCCTCCTGGATCAGGCTGAAGGTGCCACAGATCAGTAGCGTCCAAATGGGTTGTTGTTCTGCTGTGTCTGTGTATCTGTTGAGGTCAAGACAGAGTTAGACAAGTCACAAGTTTAGTTCACACAAGAAATCCCCCTCCCTACCAAAGCTGAATGAGGGGTGTGTCACAGCCCATGAGAAGAAAAAATATAACTCTGCTCTGCACATCTGTCTGAGCCTTTGGGCAGCAGCACAGCCAGGATCCCACATTCTCTGAGGAAGACACAGATATGTGCCAGTCTTGATCCTGATGCTTCTCCAGAGATCTCTGTGTAGAGATGGTAGAATTGGAGGACCATAACACAGCCCTGAAAGGAGGCAGCTAGCTGGGAGGATGAGTTTATGGATTAATTATTTCTGGTTTTAAAAGAAAATCAGCCCTATAAGACTGCACAACTCCTGCAGCCATACAAAGCTGCTCAGCCAGGTAGTGCCACTCATCCTAAGG